GAAATCCGCGCTTGTCTGAAGCCCAGGGGTGAAGCTGGGCGTCCCGGGAGGGGCGTAGGTGTGGACTGCTGTGGTATTGGGGATGTTCTCTCCGCATCAATGCTGCTCGGCCCGATGAGTTTTTCGGTTTGTGAGTCTTGTAGCGACCAGAGTGCTTTGGGAACTCAAAGCACGAGGCAGGGTAGCAAACAGTTGTTTTTGTAAGCCCTGAGAGGCACCTCCAGCTGTCACTGTATTAGTACAGTCTTGGAGATCCTGTTTCAGTCCTGCTAGGAGTCTCCAGGGACTCCAACTCGTGCACCGTATCAAAGGGTCCGCCAAGCGGTCCAGCTCAGATAGACTGATCATGGTAAAGGTTTAGGCCCCTATGTTTAGGGTTAAGGGTTCTCTTTCATCCCGTCGCCCTGGACCTAAGACTCCCAGACCCCTTAGTCCAAGCTTGAGAAACTGGAGAGGCTCCACAACTTTTTGGTAGATGCCTTCATAAAGCAGCACCCTAGGGTCAGCCAGCCCAATCTGATCTGCTGTATACCCCCATTTGAGGCCAGTTTCAATTTCAGTTTCTATTTGAGTCTCCCCACTGGGTGAATATTCCCCCTTAAGTAGATAGAATATGGCTTTGGGTATGTTAGAATAAGATCCCCATATACCCCATAATCTATCTACTTAAGGGGGACTATAGGCTTTGTTGAGTACAAGTAGAGTATGATGAAGCGGCTCTACCAGCCACAGGGAAATGGCTTTCTTGTGTCACATGTTTTTCCCTTTGAAAAAAATCCTTTATAATGAGGATTTTTGTGGGTCTACAGAAAGGCACGGCTGTTTATGGAAATCACCATACGGTATATATGGTAGTTTCCCTAGGGACCCCCCCAACATAGACCCCCATATCCTATATTATTCCTTTTTATAATAGGGGCCCCTAAAAAGGTACCCATCATTCTGGGAAACCTTAAACTCTACTTCCTAAACCCCGAACCCTATTTATCCCTAGGGGGCATGTCTACCGCAAGGATACGTGGCCTCAGGCCGCCTTGGGGGTACACTCTGGTTCTCTGCCTGCTAGAAAACCAAATTTTGATTTGGTGGGTTGTGGGTGGAGGGGAACTTGCAGATTGGAATCTCAGACCACAGTCTCGACTTGAAGCCATTATAACCGATGGCCAGCTGCACTCAGGCCGCAGATTCGCAACATTGCGAAGTGCTGACACCGCCTTCCGAGGCAAATGCTGTACATCTGCCCAGCCGGCTGACGGAATCGTGGCAAAGCCACTATCTGTGACGTGAAATGCGGTTAGCGGGCAGATAATGGTTTGTCATGGTTTGTACTGTAGGCAGGTGATTGGGTTCTACAATCTGGGAAAGGTATGAGGAGATTCAGGTTTGCCACAGTTCTTCCCTACAGTGCCCCCCTGGCAATCCCAAGAAGATGCGGGACTAATGCGTTGGAATCCAGTACAGCTGGCGAGGTTTTCGTAAGACTGGCACCAAGGCGCAGTGTGGAGCATTGGAGCCCTTGCCCCCAAAGGATCTTTAGCTTGCCCAAGCGGTTGTGGCATCAAACCATTGGTCTCCGTAAGTTTGAAACTGTATGTGTAAGTGTAGTCCTTGTTGTTCTCCGATTATTATTCATTTTATTCGTACACTTATTCTTATTATTATTACTATTATGAATATTACTGCTATCATCATTATTACAATTACAATTACTATTACTATCATTATTACTATTACTATTACTATTACTATTACTATTACTATTACTATTACTATTACTATTACTATTACTATTATTACTACTAGTATTATTATTACTATAATTCTTATGACGTTACGTGTTGCAATTTCTGCTGGCCATCCTTCGAAAGCTAAGCTGACGCGGAGAGGTCCATTTCATAGCGTTACTGGGGCTAAGATAATATTATAGTGGGCTTTATAGGGATAATGGAAAAGGAAAACGGAGACTACTACAATATACTGGGGTATATCTTGGGGTTATCTTCCCTCCCATACATGGGAAAACGGTTAACTCCTCATTGAGTTCTCAATGGCCTGTGCTTCACACTTTTGTTTGGCGTTGGGGACAGGGCTTAATTTCCACCTGTGCCTGGCCCGCAAGCTTGTAGATAGAGCTTTGAGTTCTGGTTTGTTGCCCGGGGACTTGTGCCTTGGGATCCTGAGCTAGCTCTGCTTACCTCAAAGTGAGCATCTACCTCCATGGGGCATGTAGTCAAGTGACGCGCCAACAAGAATCAACTCTGCTTCACTCCCCGGCGTGCACTCCATGATGCTTGAGTGGGGTCCTGCCTGCCCCGAAGGTCCCAGAGCACGGCAGCTGTGTACTATGAAGGTTTGGCGAATGCTTTCTTTGATGTGTGCTGCAAAGGACATTGCTGTGAATTGCTGAGGCTCCTAGTGCAAGGCATAACAGAATCAGGGCTCATATGAGGATTTTGATGATAGCTGGCACGGCCAGCCATGCTTTCAACGCGGTGTAGTTTGGGTGTGGTGGTAGTAGTAGCAGGAGGAGAAGGGTACTTGCTTTTCTTATTCTGATAGTTATGATCACAACTGCTACTGCTACGGCTGCTGCTGGTACTGCTGCTCTGTCGAGCTTTATGTGTAGCATTGGGCCGTGGCTTGTTCGGGCAAAGCTGGTGAGATCCCACTTGCAACTGTACGGTGTAGCGGACACACCTGCGACGCCCACCCGGATCATTCTGAACTGGATGCACACTTGAGATAGCGTAAGGCAGATGCTTTCTAGATACACACTAACATCATGCTGTACAGAAGCATGTGCAAAATGCCGCTTTGTACATAGATCTTGGGTGGGGGCCAAAGGGCTGCCGCAGAATGCGGCCAAAGACACCTGAAGGGTGTCCGGAGAAATGCCATGTCACGGAGCACCTCAGCATAAAAGACAGATACTTACACGAGCGACTTGTTCTGATTCCAAACTGATTGCAATCCCCTGTAATTCCTTTCCAGGGCTTTTGCTAATCAAGCGCTCGGTTGCATTTGAGGAGTGCAGGGCACTTGAATAAGGTTTGATAGACGCGCGGTCAATTTCACAAGGTTTGCGTAATCCCATCCCCCGAACATTAAGCCCCTCCCCGCCCCCCAAATATCAAACCCAATACATTATGATATACCACAACGGGGAGTATTCAATATTAGGGGAGGTGATCAATGGACAATATACTAGAATATACCATAATATACAATACTAAACCATAATATATATTAATATACCATAATACACTATACCTAAACCCTAAGCCCTAAACCCTAAACGACTATAATATATTGTAATAGGGGATTACCCTTCAAAAATGACGATTGCTCTTAAAGATTCCAGGCTGGCGGCTGGGGGGATGATGCGTGGTTTAGGGTTTAGGGTGTTTAGGGTTTAGGGATTTTTGGGGTTTAGGGTTTTGGGGTTCAGGGTTTTTTAGGGTTTAGGGTTTGGGGGTTTAGGGTTTGGGGGTTTAGGGTTTGGGGGTTTAGGGTTCTTGGGGTTTAGGGTTCAGGGGTTTTGGCTTTTAGGGTTAAGGGTTTGGGGTTTTAGGCTTAGAGTACATGGATCCCGTTGTAGCCAATGTAGTAAGGTTTGCAGTCTGCAGAAGGCCTGGTGCACCTTGCAACCCGAACCTGCCGGAGCCAAACAAACTGGGTTGCTGTTAAGGAACTTAAGGTAAGTTTTTCTATTGGGAAAACCATACGAATTAGTGCATATACCCATTATGGTAACTTAATTTAAGTTCTTCAACAGCAACCCAGAAAATCATGAAGTTCCTCAAGCCCATGGCTTCATTATGGAAATCCGAATCGTGGTCCTCGCAGGTGTTGCTAAGCCATGTGACAGGGGGTCGCCGGCTGACCCTGCTGGGTCCCAAGCTGCAGGGTCAATCTGCCAGATCATGGAGAGATGAGTCACTTGAGGTGTGAAAGTATGGGTGCGCGATGACCTTTGTTCATGAATCATGAGATTTGCACGTGCTTTCGTAAAGATTGTGTGCAGTCCCGAAGCCTGTTGATGAAGCCTGCTGCTCAGCACCAACCCCCAATAGAGAGTTTGCGTACCTTGCTTCCCCTGACGCTTGGAACACCACGGAAAAATAAACTGAGACAATGACACGGCATGTGGGGCTTGCGTCCAAAATAAGAGGAGTATGGGTTACAGTCACTTTCCCAGAGGCCTCGATTCAAGCAAATTTCCATGAGCAGCTACCTCCAGCTCATCAGGCCCATTTCTGTTGCAAGAAAGCCCATACAGTTCCGGAAGTCCCACACAACCCCGCAGAAGCTTGCCCGAGCCGAAGAAACGGCTGCTGAACCCCAAAATCTTCTGCGATTTTCTGCTCAGGTCGATGCTCTTGTGGGGCGCTTGGGGCGAGGCAAGGGTTTGGTGTTTGCTGTAGAAGCGCAAATAGCCACCAGCACGATTCCCTCATCTTCCTAACGTAGCTATAGCACATGTTTTCCCATGGCCGTCTTCTAAGTCCTAAGGCCTGGCGTGAAATGTTAAGGTTCTTTGGGCGCCCTGTTTTTCCGCAAGCACAAACTTGGTTTTTGCTTACCAGCAGGCTGTATAGCAGAGTTAGCGAGTGCTTTTTGAAGCACAGAAGCGGTGTTTTGCTTGCGCATCACACTTTGGATCCCACTCCCAAAGCAGTGGGGCACCCAATGAGGGACCCAAGCTAATGTTGATAAAGCCTGATGAAGCTCCTGCACTTGCAGTGGAAGGGTACTGCATATCCTCCCAAAGCATTACAGGTATCCGCGTCTGTGCTCTAACAACATGTATTTTGCGGGCGTCCGTCTGGGGAATAAAGTACTGCATCACAGTGTAGCACGTATGTCTGCGAACGGAAGCCTTGCCCATTCAATAACGGTTCCGTTGTTCAGCTGTGTTCGCGGCCACTGCTTTGCACTTGGCGGCCCGAAGCTCGCTTCCACTCTGCTCCTCCTCCCTCATCAACGGCCCTGCGTTTGCCATGGCTGCAACTATGACCCTGAGCTGCAAGCACTTGATGTGTGGTTGCTTGTGATAGCTGCATCTCGGAGGCTTAGGCAGGTAAGGCATGTACTAGAAGCCTAGGCTAATATACACGAAAACATACTATATTATGTATCCGAATATACTATACTATAGTATTTACTCTCTCTATATATTATTTGCGTATAAATCTGCTCTAATACACATTACGCACGCTTCCAAGGGGTGACTCGATGATGAGCAACTCGAGGAAGCCGACCGGCATGAAGGGGAAGGCCTGTAATAATAGTACTTACAGTATTACAGGAATAAGAGTAATAATAGTAGTAGTAATGGTAGGCAACGCGCTCGTGTGTTTGCGCGGGTTAGTTGTGGGCGGCTGTTTTTACTCAGGGCCACGGAAACCTGTATTTTACAGGGTTTTCTGGTGACCGCATGTAGAAGCAGTTTCAACCATGGAATCTGGGGGGGGAACTACTTGTGATTTCGAGAATTTTGACAGTTCAAGCAATGGCAATGTGTTTCGCGCCCGTCTACCTCCAGCCATGAAAGCCATGCACGGGGGAATGGTTTAGGCATGGATGCTTTGGTCAGCGTATGCTCTGGGAACACGAACGTTATCATGGTTTGGGCATGAATGCTTTGGTCAGCGTGTGCTCCGGGAACGCGACCGTTATTATGGTTTGGGGCATGAATGCTTTGGTCAGAGTATGCTCTCGGAACACGAAAGTCGTTATGGTTTGGCCATGGATGCTTTGCTCAGAGTATGCTCTCGGAACACGAAAGTCGTTATGGTTTGGCCATGGATGCTTTTGTCAGCGCATGCTTTGGGAACATGAACGTTATCATGGTTTGGGCATGGATGCTTTGGTCAGCGTATGCTCGGGGAACGCGAACGTTTTTATGGTGTAGACATGGATGCATTCGTCAGCGTGTGCTCCGGGAACGCGACCGTTATTATGGTTTGGGGCATGAATGCTTTGGTCAGAGTATGCTCTCGGAACACGAACGTTATTATGGTTTGGGCATGGATGCTTTGGTCAACGTATGCTCCAGAAACACGAACGTTA